ATGTTGTAGGGATCCGGGATATTGATGCTTATACCGTGCTTGGGGATATTCTACACTTGCAGCTTACTACCGAAAGACCTCCGTTCGACTCTCTACAGCGGGAACCAGGACCTCTAAGCGATCAACCCCCCTGCTAGACCGGGGGCAATCGTAACACTCATCTTATCACACCAATACCCATCTGTATCAGCACTGGAGGATCTTCATTGAGAAGGACATTCCATTTCTCTAATTGGGACATTTTGTTAATTTGATAATATATATTTAAAAGAACAGTCCAAGTACTATAACCATCACAAAGTGCTTAAGTTGATATAATGCCAACAGTGCCCTGGAACCCCATCACTGTAAATAGTCAAACCATTGTAGAATGGTTTGACTTCGTTCCTTGAGTCTACTTGGCACTGCTCCCTGTCTCCACTGCATTTGACAGAGATGGTTTACCCCAGGAGAGCTAACAGAAGCACCTTCCACCCAGAGCTTCCAGCTCTCTATGAGCTGCACCTGGTGGACCCCAGGTAAGAAATCAAACAGTTCTAAAAAGGTTTGACTACTTACAATGGAGGGTAGGTGACAGAGTACTCCTAGCACCATAACCACTACAGCACACTTGAAATTTTCACATGAATACCTGGTTGTACTGAGAGAATTAAAGAAACATTCCAACCACCATTACTAGATCAGTCCGCTGGTGTGGTTAGAGAGTCTAAAGTACCCTGGCACCCTTCTCAGGCTAAGCAGTCAAACCATTAGACTATGCCACCTCACCTACCTAAAGAACCTCCAGCACTGAACTAAGCTCAGTTGACACTGTCAGTCAATGTATTTATCCTGCACAGCAGGGATTAGCTCACTGAAGCTAACGGCATATCCTTGCCTCCTTAAAGGAGACAGCAGATACCCGCTGGACCCCAGGTAAATTGTCAAATTATGCCTGCAATTTTAGGTTCTAGCAGCACCACAACCAAATAATGCATGTTTTGGGTGTGCCCCCAAGTAATAATATTTGTATTTTTGTATTAAATGACCCTACCTACCCTCTCACACTAATAGTTAACAGTTAGGGTGGAGCCCATACAGTAATTAAAAAATGTAAATTTAACCTGTGAATTTTTTTATTTGATTAAAGGGCTTCTTTCTTCTATATTCTTTCTTTGGCCATCAAAGTGGCCAGAAGAGCACAGTCATATTCTACATGAAAATAATCTAGCCTTTACCTTCCAGCCTGACTGGCATGATTATGGGAAAGACTTATTTTTAGACTGGGGGCAATAAGCGGATAGAGAGACAAAAGCGTGCCAGTGGAGGCAACTGCTGGTGAGGGATACATGACTGCAGAGGTTAAATGGACTGAATTGTATCTTTGTAATCAACCTTGAGTGTGTCCTTGAGGACAGGTCATTGCACTTTGTTTTGCTGATGTTATATTAAACACCTCTGGTGCAAAGTACTAAAATTGGAGCAATCACCATAGCACCTCGGGAATCAGTATTAAAATCCATGTACTTTGTATAAACATGTTCTAACAAGATGACCATAAATTGTGTTATGCATAATGTGAATTTTGGAAATAATCACTTGGAAATGTTGCTGCTCCATTTCTTTTATTAGCCAGAGCAGAGTTTGCCAGAAAAGGTATGGCTGTTTAACGGGCATATAATTCCTACCTTTGGCGTGGACATATTTGGAACACAGCTGATGCCTCCTACAAACACCATATTGGGCATCACAAGTTGTGGTTAGTCAAAGACAAAGTCATATCTCAGAACCCAGATGGATGTTCTGCTTAGAAGTTGCAGGATATTCTCGTCGTTTTCTAGGAACTTGAAAGCAAGATGCTCCCATGGTGTATATGTAGCCGCACAATAATAGTACTCGATTAGCCTAACTAATAGGTTTTTCAAACGCTGCATGAAATTCATCTTGTCTGAGAACTGGCTGAATATTCTGGTGACATAGGACAGGGGGCTCGAACACCGTGCACTGGTATAGTCTAACATATAGGGCTTTCCTCTTAGAAAATGCACATTAGGGACTCCAAGATGTGATGCCCCCCATCATCCCACAAGGTGAAAATGAGTCACTAAGCAATGCATCATATTTATCTCCTCTGAGATTTTGCATTAACTCTTTATGGAATAAAAACTTTGCGCACATGGTCCGAAACATGTCATATATACATAACATGCTGTTAAGCATGTTAATGGTGACTCCTGGAAAAGGAGCATTAATGAAGTGATCGCTTCCAAACTTCTGCAATTTTGCTTTTGTGTAGTGATTGCTGTATGGCATGAAGAGTTTCTCATTGATAAAGTACTCGCTTGTGTCACCATCACAACCTAATACTCATTCTTAGTTAGCCTTTCTACTACAGGTTTCTTGCTTAGCCAGTGGCTGTCATTCATAGGAATTACTAAGAGTTTTTCCTCCCTCTGCCAGACAGAGACTTCTCAGGAGAAGTAGCCAAGTAGCAGATATAGAAGAAGAGAGTAGATCCATCTTAATTAGTGAATTAGATGCAGGTTGTTCTAAATCACATTTTATATCTTGACCATGTCAACCGTGATTTATTTATTTTTTGTATATTTTTTTTTTGCTTTCAGTCCAGATGGCACATTTTCAAATACGTTTACAACTATATTAAAGCCAATCTTTAATATCCATGTATTTAAAATTAATATGCCATCTTGGTGACCATTAATTGGGTTTATCCATTACATGCATTGTGAAATGTTGCCCCACTCATTATTTTCTAAGAAACAGTAGAGCCAGAGCAGAGTTTGTCAAAATAAAGTCAAGTACACAGAAAGACACATACAGCTCAAACTACATTGTTTTTAGACAAAGATTGTACACACAGCTCAAACACTCCTTAGATCAATTTTGCAACAGGATTCTCGAACATAGAATGGGAATATACAAAGGGATGTGGAGCAAAGATCTATCAAGTTTAAAAGTACAGATTTGACTCTAAGGTACTAAAGAGAACAAAGTGTGGCTAATATCCACCCAAGTAAAAAACACAGATATGTCTTATGGTTGTGGAAGACAATCAAGGCCCTGGGGAGTCAGCATAGCTAAACGGACAAGGGCACATGTATGAGTGTGGGGATGGTGCTAGTGATTGGCTATATGTGTTTAGGGGAGTGGTTATGGGTTTGTAGTGGGACAGGGATCATCTTACCTCAGTGCCTTTTGGGATTCTGGCCAGCAAACAACTTCTCTGCCTCTGCGCTCCTGTTTGTCCTGGGCCTGCATGCTTTTCCAGCTTGAGGGATGGCTGTGGATTCAATCCTGCTGCCCTCAGAGCTGCTGCTGCCCTGGATGATGGCAGGCACCTTCAGGAGCAATGTGCTCCCCTCCAGCCTGGCCTGCCTGCCGGTGTGGGTTCACCCCCCCGTGGTCAGGCCTCTCCTGGGCCTCCCACGCAGCTACAGCCCCCTGTAGGTCGCAGGAGCATGGGCCAGAGCTCAGCTGACCCCTGATCCTTCAGGCCTGAGGCACCACCAGGCCCGCATGTCAGCTCCATCTGCTCCATCTGACACGCGGCCTGCTACTACTGCCGCCCCCCGCGCACCCCCCGGCCTTGGACAGCAGGCCAGGGGTGCCAGAAGATCTACACTGCATCCTGGGGTGTCTGGGAGGCCTTCCCAGCCCCCACGGCCGGTAATGGTGAGTGGGCCCCTCAGGGCCACACGGGGCATGGCTGTGCTGCCATTGGAGGGTAGAGGGGGGTTCTCCCCGGGCTCTGATGGCTCCTCTGGGGATGAGGGTCAGCCGGGGGGTCCCCCTCTCCCCCCGGGTTCTGTCCCAATTCCTCCCTCCCCCCTTGACCCCTCTTCCTCTGGAGTCCCCTCTTCCCTGTTGCTGCTGTCCTGGCTCTCTCTGCTCCCCCTCCTGGCTCTCTCTCTATCTCCCTCCTTCCTCCTCCCTGTTCCTGCTGTGCTGGGTCCCCTTCCTCTCTCTGCACCCCCTCCTGGCTCTCTCTCTATCTCCCTCCTTCCTCCTCCCCTGTTCCTGCGGTGCTGGGTGTCCTTCCTCTCTCTCTGTCTCCCTCTGTCTCCCTCCCTCCTCCCCCCCATCTCTCCTGTCCCTATTCCTGGTCCCTATGTCCCCCCTGCCCCTCCCCCCGGGTACTTACCTCGGCTGCCCTCCTCTGCGGGGTGTGAGCTCCTCTCCACGGCTCTTCTCACAGGATCTGGCTGCAGTTCCTGGGACCGTCCAGCAGATGGTGCCTGGTGCTGCTGCTGGGCTGAGCAGTGCTGAAAATGAAGTTAACTCTGTCCTGCCTGGATCATCTTCATTTCCTTTGCCGCGAGAGGTTCCTCGGGCATCGGCTGGTGAGTTCACTAATGTTTCTTCTTTTCAGTCCAGGGGTTCCTCGCTGGGGGGTTTTCTTGATCAGTCAAAAAAAAAAAAATTACAAAAAATATAAAATAAAAAAATAAATAAAATAAAGGGAGCAGGGTGCGCAAGCAGGTAGGGTCCCCCCATTAGATGGTCAGCTCCGGTTAGTGTGGTCCCCGGCGCTGCAGCCACAGGGTTTTTTTGTCTGTTTTTGGGGTCACGCTGTTACCCTCTCCTGGAGTGGGTGTGCATGCTGGCACCCCTGCTACGGCGTCGGGTGCCGCAGCACCTGCTGCTGCTAGGGGGTCCCTAGCATTAGGTGACCCCCCCAGGTTTGCCGTTTCGCGTGGGTCCGCCTATGTGTTGGTCAGGGCCCTTGGGCTTGCACCTTCAACAGGAGGTTCGTAAAAAATTTGGAGGGGAGACTTTGTTGAGATTTTTCCCTCCTTCCCATGGAGGAGGCTCCTCCTTTAATGGACAAGGACGGGTAGGAATCAAAAAAAAAAAAAGACAAGGAGAAATACCAGTACCGGAAGATCCCTATGACTTGCGCAAATTGGATTTGCGCGTTTGCAATCCTGGCCAGTGTAACTGGGGAAAGGGCTCCGCAGAAGTGCTCCGCATTGTTCTGCTACCAGGATACCATTTGGAACGCTTGTCGTACCTATGGCAGTCTGGGATGGTGGAAATATGACGAGCAGTTCTGTCAACAGTTGGCGGGGGGGTCCTCCTCCTCACCGGTCGCGCATCGGAGGCCGGGCTGTTGTTGAAATTCAACGACAGTCACTGCAAATGGGGGGCATCTTGCTGTTTCCAGCACGAATGTTCCACTTGGGGATTTGGGGTCAGAGGGCGATGGCACCAGTGGTCATGAGCGCGATGCGCCCTTGGCTCTCCAGTTTATAGAAATCATCGGGTGGCTGGCATCCTACTGGATGGGTTGAGCATGGGTTTTGGACAAATACCGTCTGATTCACCATTTATCGTACCCCCGGGGGGGGGGAGGGGTTGGTGAATGACGACATCTCTTGGGAACTCTGACGGGTATCTTATGCATCCTTTGACGTGGCGGTTGATATGGTCAGGGCCATGGGCCCTGGGGCCTTGTTGGGCCAGGGCTGATGTGGATTCGGCCTTCCGTCTACTGCCAGTGCACCCGGGATGTCACCATCTTCTGGGCTGTGTTTTTTTTGTAGGCATGTATTACGTAGATATGTGCCTCCCTATGGGTAGTTCCATATCCTGTTGTTACTTTGCATGCTTCAGCACGTTCTTGGACTGGGTGGTGAGGGAGGAGGCTGGTATAGTCTCCTTGCTACACTACCTCGATCATTTCATTTGTGTGGGTCCTGCCGATTCGACAGCCTGTTCACTGCTGCGACGGGTTCTGGGTGAGGTGTTCCATTAGTTTGGGATCCCATTGGCACACGGCAAGACGGTGGGCCCGGTCACTTTCTCAGCTTTCTGGGCATTGAGATTGACTCTTTGGCGTGGGACTGCCGCTGGCCTTTGAATAAGATTCAAGGCTGGCGGCGCGAAGGGGCCTTGGCCATGGGACGGCGCGATATTCAGCTGCGCTGCCTGCAGTCGCTCCTGGGTGAGCTGAATTTTGCCTGTTGGATCATGCCCGTGGGGCGGGTCTTTAACCGGCGTCTGGCTACGGCGACAGCCGTGGTCTCCGGGCCTCGCCATTTCATTCGGCTCACTCGGCTGCTGCGGGAGATTTTGGGAGTCCTTCTTAGCTGCATATCATGGCCGGTTCTGCTGGCAAAGGCCGGAGGTTTCTAACGCCGACCTCCACCTATTTACGGACGCAGCTGGCGCGGTGGGGTTTGGGGCCATTCTGGGCTCTAATTGGTGTGCTCCCGTGTGGCCAGACAGTTGGCATGTCTCTGGGCTCACAAAGAATCTGGGCTTTTTGGAGTGTTTCCCCATTTTGGTGGTGGGGGAGGTCTGGCAGTCACGTTTCAGGATCTAAGGGTAGTGTTTCACTGCGACAATTTGGGGGTTGTTCAAGCCATTACTCGGCTGACAGCCTCCTTCCCTCGCTTGCTTAAGGGGCAATCGCCTCGCAGGCGGATCTGGAGGGGACGCCTTGCATCCTTGCCCCTAAACTGCTAGAATTTAGCCATGTATTTATTGATTGATTAAAGGTAGTATAGATAAAATAGCGAGGTTTATTTAGAACTAAAACATAATGTTGATGCTAAATTTTATAATACATAATTATGGATTAGGTCCATCATGATCAAGTACAGGTTAAAATCGTTGCACTGGAATCAAAACTACTTTGGCTTAACAAAGCTGTTTTGGTGTATAGATCATGCCCCTGCAGTCTCACTGCTCAATTATCTGCCATTTAAGAATTAAAGCACTTTGCAACCATCGTCATACTTCCCTACATGTAATGTGCAATGCTTTCCTTAACACTTCATATAAGGTGAGCTCTAATGTTTACACTTCCTTTATTGCAAATTTTGTTTAATTTAGAATTTCGTAGATGTATGATAATATATAATAGCTCGTATAGATAGATGAATAGACAGACGGACAGAAAAAGAGAGAGAGATGATAGAGCCAAATTTATATCTAGCCATGTATAAAAATATTTCTCTCTCTATATATAAAAGATTGTTATGAGACCAACACAATAAAAGTCCCAACACAGTGCAATTAGAGAAATTACTGTTGTGTATCAATCACATATCTCAAGTTGAACTTTGGAAATTCCTCTTTGGCACAGAAACTAGAGTGTCATGGGAGATGGGTCTCCTCGTACGTGTTCCCTTATTTGTACTTTGTTTCGTCTGATATCCTCCTGCATTCGAATGGAATCACTACCCGATTATTGTTCCCTTGTGTTAGGCTATCTTTTCCCCTTGTTAACACCTCGTAATCACCGACCACCCCCATTAACGACAAACTAGCAATCACCTCAAGTGCTTCCCCGTTCGATTGCCTGACCAGCTAGGGTAACGGTTTTTGGGAGTAACAAACTGCTGAACAAGGGAAGCATTAATTTCTTTAAACCCAGGAGATGCATTCGTTGGTGTACGCACAGGAACCCCCAAAAGTCGACCGGCCAGCCTTATCAATTCTCTGTAATTGTTTTGGGCTACCACCTCAACTTTTTATTCGAACCTAACTTTCATTTTACCAAACTGATCTGAGCACTTTTTGTGCGCTCAGATCGGGGCTATTCGGGAATATCATTTTTCTAAGGTTCCTATACTGTTTTCATGTATTTTCATGATATGTTAAAATTGTATGTTAGTTTTCTTATTTGAGAGATAATAGTTATCTTAATTGGAGCTCAATTATCTCTCAAGCACAATGGTTTGTGGGAAGGAAAGCCCTGTGATTTTGTCTTGGAAACCCCATGCTAGGGGCACTGTATAAAAAGCCGAGTGTGGCCTAATAAAGTCAGATTGCTTCATCTACCCAATACGACTAGTTGCGTCCATTATATTGGTGAAACTTTACACAGCGATAACATTATCACCATATTCAGTACATATGGAACTAGGACTAGTAGAGGATTGAAGGAATAACAGCAATAGACTAGCGAACCTGTGACATAGAGAAATTATGTTTCAGCAACTATCCCAGAGTTCCCTGCTAGACATGCATATGGACAAGACAAGCCTTATGTTTCTGTATTTTTTTCAGGTACCCTTAACAACAGATGTTATTTAAAGTAAGGTTTTTTTTTTAAACCAAATCATGGGTTGATCATCTAAAAGGACCAGGTATCAGTATCTCGCCATGGAGTGCACAATTATAACCTTCTGGGTCTCTTTAGCATGATACTGGTTCTAGTCCGAAAATGAGAGTGACTGAAAGGTTGAAGTGAAACCAAACACAAAACTCTCCACAGTGCAAAAAGAGAATAATTGTTGTGTATCACTTGCATATCTCAAATTGAACTTTGGAATGTCCTCCTTGGGCACAGAACCTTGAGAAATCATGTGTCCACAACTATCCCAGAGTTCCTAGATTGACATTCAAATGAGCACAGACAGACATTACTGTAGTGGTGTGCCCTGGGAATGGATTCACCCAGTTTCTCACAAGTGACCATACCTCCCAATCCTTCCCAATTTAGGAGGGATAGTCTGTAATTTGGGCCCAAAGTCCTCTGTCCCTCTTTTCTTGGATCTCCATATTGTTGTTGTGTCTGAATGCTGAGTTCCACACCAATAACACTCACAGTAATGTATATTTAAACTACAATATGTGTGTCTAGAAGAGGGGTAGGCAACCTTTTAGCAGCACTGTGCCAAAATAAGATTGTGATGGCCCGTAGCGTGCCAGTCCTATTTTTTATTAATTGAGGTGTGTATGATGCCATATTCTGCTTGTGTTATTTATACTGCGGTTGCTTTGTATCATTGTATTTGTGCGTATATAAGCTATTATATTGTATATGTTCATGAGTAGTTTGTGGTATCGTGTCCCTATGAATTTGGGCTGTGTATGGGGGCTGCTTGTGGAATTGTGTGTGTGGATAGATATGTCACATTGTGTGTTTGGTAGTGTGTGTATGTGTGGGGCTGTTTAGGGTATTTTATGTAAGAGCCTGCATGTGGGGTTGAGTGCATGTATGTGGATAGTCAGTGGTGTTGAGTTTGTGCGGATTGTGTGTTGTGCTTGTGTGTTGGATGTTCATATTATTTGTATGAAGGGAGGGTTATTCTGCATTTTTGTGTATATCGTGCTTGCCAGGTACAGGTCAAGGACAGGAGCTGCAACAGCAGCTGCAGGCTGCTCTACTACAGTGTGGATTCCCATTCACAAGTGCTGGGAAAAAGTAATCTGAAGTCATTTCCTCTACGTGCTGCAATGCAAAAATTGAGGATTGTCCTTCACCACCTTTTCGTATTAGCAGATATCTGAAGTTTCACTGGGACTCCTGATAGGCCAGAGCCTGTTTGACTCTGGTAGCCTTGAGTACCGTGCAAAGGCACCTCAAATGGAACACGTGCCATAGGTTGCCTACCCCTGGTCTAGAAATTTAGAATTCTTGTTCTAAATTAGCTTTTTGTTCCATAACATTATTAGTAAGACATTTAAACATTTCTCCTATCAGTCCTGCCCTGGTCACATCCCCACCCATATCCCTAAAATGAAAGTATTTGTCTTTGTGCATTTGGAATGTTAGGTGGTATGCATGATGTCAGCAAGGCTTCTTCCCTACTATAAAAGTCTGTGTTGTTTACTGTGGGTTATATTCACTAAATAAAACAGTCAGTATTCTAACAGCGGCAGTTGTGCTTGGCCAGCACAACAATAAGACAAAGCCACTTTGGAGATACAGGCCCTGTGAATGGCTGAGAATGGAAAAGAACTGGAATGCATGGTTAAAAATAATATCTGCAACTACCTGTTGTCTTATCAACAACAGCTTGTAGCTGTCATGTTAAGTGTAAATGTGGTTCAATAAAGTTGAGTTAAATGTTTTTAAATCACAAGAAGTTGTACTATTCATTATTTCGGAAGAAGTGTTATGAGCATGTTTCTTGACATAATTTTAACAGGGTAAAATCTGCCTTCCATTTGCCTGTGCATCTGTAATGATAAATTTAATAATTTTACAGATTGAGCAATTGTGCATAAAGGAGCCCTTCAGTGTGAGAATAGAAGTAACACAGGTAAAGGTAAAATGTCCATGTACATGCATTTCATTGTCAATGCAAATACACCAGTGTACAAAAATAAGTGTTTCTTTTGTAAATAGGCTTTTCAAACTCTACAATATTTAGTTTAACATTTTTAAGCAATCATTTACTGTTGTACAGCAAGTTAAAATATTTAAGTTAAAATATCATCAAAATAATATGATCAAAATCACAATTTACTTGCAATATAATATGAATGAATTATTCTTACC